TCATGAGGTATTAGGATAGGATATAAGTATGATTAGGATAGATTATAATTTAAATTAAATATTTAAAATAGTACATGGTAATTTTGACTTCCAGAACTCATGCTTTTAAAGGGAGTATGATTTTTGTTTTCCTTAATTTTTTTTATAATTTTGGAATGACTTTTGTCTCTTTAATTTGTTTGGTGGATTTTGTAAATATCTCATCCATATTATGTACATTTGTAGGTGTACGTTGTTCTTGGGTTTGACCTTTTTATTTGTCTCATTAATTTATTTGGTTTTTACATATACGCCCTTCATTTTGTAGATATTTATAAATTTGGCATTTAAAATTTTTATTTAGATTTATATTTCAATTTAAACTGTATCATTATCTTCATACTATGTATATTCAATAAGAATTTATTAATTTATCAGCTTACTCTTACTTAATTAAATAATATTTAAATTCTAAAGGTATTTTTGTCTACCAAAAGATTTTTTTCGAACTCGTGCTTTTAAAGAGAGTATTATATATATATATATATATATATATATATATAATACTCTCTTTAAAAGCACGAGTTCGAAAAAAATCTTTTGGTAGACAAAAATACCTTTAGAATTTAAATATTATTTAATTAAGTAAGAGTAAGCTGATAAATTAATAAATTCTTATTGAATATACATAGTAGGAGGGAAAATTTTATTTATTTGGAAAAATTTTATTAATTTGGGAAACCCTAAACCAAGCTCTGATACCATGTTAAAGTAAGAGAGAGAGAGAGTCTTGGGTAAATTTCGCTTGAATTGAATATTAAGTGTGTACATATATATATACAAGTAGAGAAAGGTGAGGTTTGTCCTCATAACCAATGTGGGAATAAACCCACTACTAACACAATATTATCAACACTCTCTTTCAAAATAAGAGACATTTTGATGATTATCTTAAGTTTTTTTCTAATAATGGTAATTATTATAAAACCTCTTTAAAGTATAGTCGCTTATTATGAAAGCCCCTAAAGTTATCTATCATTGCAAAACACCGTGCAATTAAAAACACTGTTAAAGCCCATTGATATTCCAAAACTACCCTTTTCTTCTTCCTCTTAACATATTTCTCTTCTCTCTTAAAGACAAACACATGTTAGAAATTTGAAACTAATTCCAACTAGAAGATAAAGGCACTGTTTGGCAACCAAAAAAAGTATCTTATCTAAGAGCTTGTGTCTTATTGACTTGGTCAATAAGCTAGTAGAGCTGTTTGGTGACCAAAAATAGGAGAAGATTATTTTGGAGATTGTGTCTTTTGCAAGTAGTTTTTGGAAAGCTATCTCAAGTAGCGTTTGTCTTTGGGAAGGAGCTGTCAATTTTTTTCTTCCGTTTTTGCTCCTAATAATTCTAATTTTATATCAATAATATTACATGACCTTTTTAGTCATTTAACAAATTTAAGCTAGTTGTACAGCTTCTTTTGCCAAACAGCTCTAGTCAATCAGCTAGCTACACAACTATCAGCTAGCTACACAACTATCAGCTTTCAGCTACATTTTCACAGCTTTCAGCTAGCTTCACAGCTTTCAGCTATAATCTCGCAGCTTTCAGCTAGTTTTGCCAAACAGTGCCAAAATCAAAGGAACTGAAGAGATTATCTTGATATTATACTAATTCCCTCTTTGCAGTGGTAACGGATATTTGGGTTTGATGTGAAAAGAGGCAAAATAGGTATTCGAATAGTGTGAGGAAGAAGTGCAACACTATTGAGGGGTGTTTTTTTTTTTTTTTAAGTAATGGATTTTAACAGTTTATTTGAGAGGAGGGGGTATTGTAATTAAAAAAAAACAGGGTTAGCGGTTTCATGATAACTACACAATATCCAGCGCAGGCCTTTTCTAAAAATAGGTGGGTTACTGTTGGGCTGGATCTGACGTCAACATGCCATATGAAAACTTCGGAAACTATGCGGCTCCAAATTAAGTCGAGGCCCAAATTCGATCAGTTCAAGGAAATCGTGTTGGGAAATTGGACCTCATGCGAGTCAGACAACAAGATGTCCAAACCCCGTCGGTGACCTTGATACGGACCGCAATGAAACCAGTATTCAAGTCCAATACAATAATTAAAGAAGTAAAACTTTGACTTGCGGAAAATAAAACAAAACACATTTTCAAATGAAATGGGTTAAAGATTGACTTTTGCATATATTTGACCAACAAAATGTCTCACGCATTGCGCTTTCATACAAAAGCAACTAGCATGTTGATTTCACGATAGGGCTTGGGAGAGTCCTTTTTCAGGCTTTCATTGGTGAAAAAAGTTGGTAGACCAAACTGAGTCTGACTCCAGCCTCAATCTTCAACCGGCTGAAACCAAAGCCCCCAGTATCGTCGACTATAGTTATTTCTTGACCAATTTCCAACCTCTCTCGCTTCATACTTGGACTTAACTTTATTTTGTCATAGGAAAAGTGGCACTTCAACAATGTGTGTAATTTCCTTTCATATATGTCATACCTGAGTTTTAGTCCCCCACCCTCCCTTTTAAACCTCCTTTAAAATAGATTCATTCTATAAAAAACCATATTCAATCGTCAATTTTATATGTAAATTGTTAGTAAACATAATTTGTTGCAGCCAACTACCTGGAATCATTTTTAAGTCGAGTTTTTTTCCGACTTTGTTATAACTAGTTGTTAGATACCAAGTATATCAGGATGCCTTTGAATTTCATTAGGTGTAGGGGAAGTTAAGGGAATATGGAGAAGATAATAGAAGGGAAGGTAAGAGAATTCTTTTTCCCTAGTTTCCACTCCATTTAAGTGGGGATTCTATTTATTGTAAGGTAATCAAGGAGAATAAGTTTTATTTTGGAGAAACAACATTATTATGGGAATGTACATGCGGTGGTATGCCACAAGTGAATATTTGCGACAAGAAATGAATCCCAATTTTCGGATGACTGATCCCTCTAATTCGGTCCATCTAACGTCCTTTTCGGGAGAATACTTTCCCCGCTAAAACTTTCGAAACGAGGTGAATAGGTTCCTCTACTTTCACATATCTCCCCGTTATCCAAACGTACCTTAATGAGATGATATATTGATATGTAATCAAGGTTAGACATAGGTCAATCTGAAAAGTTGGCCCAGATAAAGGCGTGGGCATGGGCCGCTCACTTGGGCCAATTCTGACCAATCCGGGGCCCAGCCCGGCCGTGCTCAAGATTGTTTTTCAATCAATCCAACCCTTTGTTATTGATTTAGCCCAACCCAGAGGCATGGCCATGTGCCATAGCCTATGGAATAGGGAACAAGGAGTATTTGCACGTGCAGTCGTGAAGGGAAACATTTCCGTTTCCTTTTGATATTCTGGGAGTATTTATTCTTTGAGACCCGAGACAACAAGAATGTCTTTTGATAGATTTAGGCTTTGATTCGAGGAGTTGTATAGCTTATAAAAGCACAAGTCAGTAACAGCGTACACGATGTCCTTTTTCACAGTGTAGTAGGCACGATCGAGCTAGAGAAAAAATAATCAGCGGCTCGACCCCCGCGAACCGCTCGTGGGACCGCGGTTCAGATCCTGCCCAGCTATGCGATCGCTCTCGGGCCGGGCTGACTTTTAACTTGTGGCTGCTCGATATTGAATTGGGTCCAGCTTCGAGGAAACCCGAGTGAGCTAGTTCATAGGTCAGGTTCGGCCGGCCCACACGCACCTATATCTAGATGGTTGATTACAACAAAAAAAAATTAATACGATATATATATATATATATACATATTCACAATCGAAAGTGATATCTATATAATGATCAATAGAAGGCTACTAGAAGGGTGGGGGAAACCGAAGTTTTAGCACAAATAGATACCGTAATAATACAGTAGATTAATTAATGTGCATGCGGTTTCACAAAGTTCGAACAAACATCTCGTGTAGTGGCATCCTCGTGATTTCGGTCGACCACGGGCCTGTATTATATACTACTCTACTCGCACGCGATCACAAACGGCGCACGCGCTACCGCGTGCGCGTTTACACGCTTGTACAAAAGCCGTTGCAGTTTATTTTCGATCGCATGATCGCATGACCCGATAACAACTCTATCAATTACAACCCCACCTACCCGCTTTATAACGTATTATTGTACTGTAGATTTGTGTTTGCAATCAATGATATGTCCAAAAATGATAACATATTATTGTACTGTAGATACAGGGAGGAGACACCTCACTCATTATGCAATAGGGAGGAGACACCTCACCTGTCCCCTCCATTGGTCCCATATTTTGGGTCCTTAAATCATTTTCCTAACATATTATTGTACTGTAGATACAGGGAGTGTCTCTTCTTGTTTTTGATTTAGAATACCAAATCAAGAACCCTATATTTGGAATACCATATAGGGAGCTTGTTAGAGCCAAATATTCACATCATACTCCCTAAATTTGAGCTTAGGACATGGGATAGGGAGCCTCTTGAGCTAGGACAGTGGTTTTACCGAGCTTTGGTTGTTGCGGAAGAGGCATAATAAATTTACCCACAGCAAAAAATCAAGGAAAAAACCAAGTATTGTGAAAGATGATGTTGACCACAGCGTAGTCTGCGTAGAGGAGCACAAAAATATATCTTGGGAGTCCATTCGTTCGCAGCGGAAAGCTGAGAGATAAAATTCACTAATATGCAAGCTCCATCTTTTTTATTAAATTTGCATGTTGCGGATAAAATTTTATTTATTTTAGTTTTCAGCTCTGAAAACGTTTGGGCAGTCCCTAGATCTCACATAATATTAATCCACATGGTATCTGGTTTAATGGTGAAGCAAAATCAAACAAGCCTTATCTAGGGAAAAGATTGCTTGCTAAAAAGTTGCAATTTTTTCCTTTAATTTATATATTTGCTCATACGAAAAATCCCATCGTAAATTTTTTTTTTTTTTTTTTTTTGCATTAGTTTAGAAACTACTTTGTAAATCGATATCAAATACATATTATCTAAATAAAATCTGCCGAGTAAAGAAAATTAGGAATAATATCAGCCAATTTATACAAATTAACTGACTAAAGAGAAAAGATCTAAAGAATCCTATCACACACACTGATCCCGTAATTTACCCCCCGAAAAAAAACATAATATTATTTACAAATAATAACATCGAAGTCAAGGGGGCAAAAAATTCCAATTCCTCTACCTTAAAATCGACGACGGCGACCGTTCTTGAACGACTTTGGCCGTCTTCTTCGATCGGAAAACCCTCATCGGGCTCGGAAAACTCCACTTCCTCCCCTTCAAGATCGGAACCCCGACGGATCTCGACCTCGGCAGCTTCTCGATCTTCTCGGCCTCCTCCTTCTCCTTCGTCTTCAAGAATCCCCAGATCCTCCCCCATTTCCTCCCCTTCTCCGACCTCCCCTCGTCCTCCTCCTCCGGTCTCATCCGTACGAGCGGAACCGCGACCGATCTCGACCGTTGAAACGCCGGCTCTCTGTCGATGAGGGCCGAGACGCGGCCGACCGCGCCGGAGACGCTGGATCTGGCGGGAAACTGGGGATCTAAGGAAGAGGAGAGAGAGGAGAAGGAGGAGGATGAAGACGACGAAGATGATGAAGGGAGGCAAGAGCAGGGGCGGTAGCTGAGACAGGTGGGGCCAGAGGAGGAGGAGGCGTGGGAGAGGGGAAGGCAGACGCCCGGGAGCGCGCGGTGGGAGGGGTGCTTCGGCATTCTGTAAACGGACTCCTCGTCGGGGATGAGATCGTGATCCATCGCCGACGGATCTCCGGCGATCTCAGGTGAGTTTCAATTAAAAGCCTGGTTTTTATTTGTGAACGAGAATGCGGGAACCTGGATTTTTAGAGAGAGAGAGAGAACGTGCGGGGAGTGCTTCGTATATAAAGGGGGAGGAGAGAGAAAGCTGACTGTGGTTAGAGTGGAGTTAACCGGGGTTAAGGTTAGTAGGTGGTGGAGCTCGTATTCATAATTAATAAAAAAAAATAAACCAACTCAACCATAATTTTCAACAAAAAACAGCTTAAGAATAATTTCCGTTTGATTCGGTTTTAAATTATTTCAGTGTCTGTTTGGTACATAGGAAGCATAAGAAGTAAATAAAATTTATCACTTTTAGAATCATAAAGAAAAAAAATAGCGGAAGTACTATTTTTTCCCCATAAATTTTTGGAAGTAGAGGGAATATTGTTTCTTCTAATTCATTCACTTTTTTCGTTCGGCAGCAATTATAAATATTTGTTAGGAAGTGAGAAAGAGGATCTTTCGAGATATTTAAAAATAAAGAATATCTATGAAATAACAAAAATGCTTTTATTTTTAAATCAACTCAAATTCAGCTACTTCTAAGTCTCAATGGGAGGAAAAAGATTCAAGAAGTAGAGATGACATGTAGGCGGTCAGTTTTTAAGAAGTAGTTTTTCCAAATAAACATATTTTTCTTCTAAGAAGTATAAAAAATAATCCGTACTTCAGCTACTTTCGTGTAAGTTAACCTAACCATCAAATTTTCACAACGTAATTATTCAAAACTTAAGTTCATTTTTTGACGAGAAAAACTAAAATGATATGTATAACTTCAAACGCTAAAAATTCAAATTTCAATTTGTTGAGCGATTGATTGGACGAGCGCAGCCATCAGCTAGACATACGAGATAACCTAAAGAATTGGACGAGAAAGATTAATGTTTCTTAATTTAGCTAAAACAGCTGTGCAACTTCACTCGATATTTTTTGAGAGACGTTCGAAAACCGACAGAACCAACGGTTCGCTAGACCTAGTCCTGACTGAACCGACCCCTTGGCTTTCGCCGGAGTCGGAAGCGGGGTTGATTGAGAAACGCCCTCCGCTTCTCCCCCTATTTGCGATGTTGCCACTCCGTGTGTATCCGGCCGTTGGGATTTCCGCTGCGGGTGCGCGCTAATTACTGAAGTGGGACCCAGAGCTTTACGCGCCGCAAGTGGGGCCCGGGGTTTTTACGTGCTGTGGGTACGTAGGCGAGGCGAATGAATGTTCGGAAGGGGTGGGAACAGTGACCGACGAGAAGCGGAACAGCGACGGCCACACGTGAAGCTTGAGTGGCCAGGTTTCGCGGGTGAGTGCGGGTATGGTTCTGATGTGGATAGTCCGAATTGATTGCTCGATGTGACCCGTTATGGGCTCTAGCGTAGGGTAAATTTCGTAGGACACCCCCAACAATTTTGGATTTTAGTTAATTTCGTGAGCTAGATCTTTGGCTGTGGGACACGTGCACGTTGGTGGGTGCGCACGTAAACTAAATGAGCTCGGTCAAACATTCGACCTCAAAATAATCAAACGAGCTTCGACTTCGAGACAGGTGGACGGCGATTTCCACAACTAGACTCGTGCCTTAATTAATGAGGGTTAAATTATACCATTTAAAAATTCAAGTAAAGGTTGCATAGTGCCATAATGCATATATTTAATGTTTAGACGCTAGATTGGACGGTTTTGAGATAGAGATGTTTAATGGATTCAGTTATGAGAGTGAGTGGGTAGTTAGGATGAATTTTTGTTTGATCATGCTCTTAGATTTGGGTATTTGGTTTGAATGTATATAGTTTTCATAAATTCTTTCCCTCCTTAAAAGATTCATGTGGTGGAATATATATATTCTATAAAACGGTTTTACTAGCGGGTGCGTTAGAATTCGTTAGAAAATGATAGATAGAAATAAATAAACGGTTTTTCTATAGAGTGTCCATGGGCATTCTATAAGTGATGAGAGAGATAGAGAGAAATAAATTATGCACAGAAATTAATGCAATTCAGGGGGGCCATGAACTAGTTATTTATCTCTATCTCTCTCCTTCCTTATAGAGTACCCATAGACACTCTATAGAAAAACCGATAAATAAATAACAAGTGAATCTTATATAAATTTCTTTTTACCTCATCTCTCTATATCTATCACATCTCTTACTGAGTACCTATCAGCATCCATTGGGAAGTGAAGACCCTCTATAAATTAATCTAGGCTGTTCCATTAAATCTTTATTTGAAGGATTAGATATTAGTCCATCAATCATTCACTAGGTCCTCAAATCTATAAAATCTCTCACGTGTCCCCCAAAATCCTAGGTGAATCTTGCAAATCAGTCTCTGAATGACCAAAATGACACCCACCTTGTGTTTTGTGCAATTAGAGTTTTGGGAGGGTAAATATAAGTTGATGGATATTTTAGTGATTGAGGGGCTAATTGCAAGGCCTCATAGGACTTGAGGGGCAATTTGAAACGCTTGTGTGGACTACAGTGACAATATTGCAGATACGAGAAACTAATGCCTAAAAAAGTTAGGGAGAGTCACCGTCATGATTCATGGGCATACGATAAGAGTGCGAAGGGTGCAAATTACTTGATTCTTATTACAATGGCACATGGAAATTTCTTTCCACATCATTAGAATTTTTTTTTCAATTGAGGACAAGAAACAACTAATGCGTAAAGATGTAGTCCGCATGTGAAAGAGGCGGTCCTGGGCCGAAGTCCTGTAAAATTCGGGCTCATTAAATGGGCTGCAGTTCGATAATGACACAAGGTCGAGGGGACCATTTTGACCAATTACTGAACCAGGAACCACCAGTTCACAATAGTTTTTGCGAGGGTATGTTTGTGCTCGAGTAATCAGTAGAAAATGGACAGAAAAAAAATTTTACATAATGAGAAATTTCACCTATATTAGAAATTCTTTTAAATGGAAGTAAATTTAGCATTTGCTGCAAATAAATTAAAATTAAAATAATGAGAAAATACTCAGAAAACACAAGCGAGAATAAAACTTCTTATATAGTCGGTGTTAGATCTAAATCAAAACTTGAGATCTAAAACCATATAGCCATGATTAATTCAAAGAGATTAACAAGAATCATAAATGAGCGGAAGCTTATACCTGAATCCATGGATGAACCTTGAGATGGGTTTTGGATCTTCTAACCTTAGGGTTTCTCTAAATCCGAATTTCTCTAGCTAGATGGGGGTGTAGAGAATTAGAGAATGTAACCCTAGGTTAGGGACCATAACCCCTTATTTATAGATGTTGTACTTTTGTAATTTAGCCCCTCAATAAATCACAATTACAACCTGGTATCTGCACATATAACCCCATGACTTATTTAAATACCAAATTAACCCAACTTAATTGATCACTTTAGTGGGTTATCCTGAAAGATAGCAATACACATTGATTAATCATATGTGCCCACAAATAGATTTATTAGATTAAATCCAACAATCTCCCACTTGGGCACCATATGATTCCTTAAATTGTGTATAACCTTATGAGCTCAAAAATTGCTATCACTGAAATGGTATTTCCGAACAATCTCGTCCATTGACTATATCAATATAGGATCAAAGCGGCCTTCGTCACATTTATCGTGACTCGACCCATCAATGGTCACATATACCAATACAATCAAACGACATAGATCAATCATGGATGTGCAGCATGAAAATTACATGCAATGTGATCAGTACATGTCTATTTTCAACTGGTCCTCCTTAGTGAGGTCAAAACCAAACATAATGTAACAGAGTGTCTTAACTGAATACTTTATTCTGATCAGACAATACAACCAAACATAAAGCACCACAAATACAAACTCCCACTAAAACATAATATCCTCAAATAATACCACACCCATATGAGCAGTATGCTCATGAAAGACCTTAGGTGGCAATCCCTTAGTAAGAGGATCAGCTATCATGGAGTTTGTCCCAATGTGCTCTATGGATATCTGTCCACTCTGTACCCTTTCTTTCACAACCAGGAACTTAATGTCAATATGTTTTGACTTAGTTGAGCCCCTGTTGTTATTGGAATACATTACTGCAGGTTTATTGTCACAATATAACATTAGTGGTCTTTCAACATTTTCCAAAATTCGCAGTCCCGTGAAAAAATTTTGCAACCATATTCCCTGATTGGATGCCTCATAGCAAGCTACAAATTCTGCTGCCATAGTGGAGGAAGCTACTAGTGTTTGTTTGACACTTTTCCATGATATAGCTCCTCCTGCTAACATATAAATGTAGCCTGATGTAGACTTCCTGCTATCTTGGCATCCAGCAAAATCAGAGTCCGAATACCCAATGACCTCTAATTTCTCTGATTTTCTGTATGTGAGCATGTAATCTTTTGTTTTCTGAAGATACCTCATAACCCTTTTGACTGCTATCCAATGATCCATACCAGGGTTGCTTAAGTATCTGCCTAACATCCCAACAATGTACGCAATATCCGGACGCGTACATACCTGAGCATACATTAGACTTCCTACAGCCGAAGCATAAGGAATCTTCTGCATTTCCTGAATTTCAAAGTTACCTTTAGGGCACTGATTGAGACTAAACTTGTCTCCTTTAGCAACAGGGGTGTCACCTGGTCTGCAATCTTGCATGCCAAACCTTTTAAGTACCTTATCGATATAGCTCTTTTGTGATAATCCAAGAATACCCCGAGAGCGATCTCGATGTATCTGGATCCCTAATATAAAAGAGGCGTCCCCAAGATCTTTCATCTCAAAATTCTTTGATAGAAATCTCTTGGTTTCGTGCAACATGCCTATATCATTAGTGGCAAGCAAGATGTCATCGACATACAGAACCAGAAAAATATACTTACTCCCACTGAACTTGTGATATACACAGTCATCAACAATGTTCATCTCAAAACCGAACGAGATAACTATTTGTTGAAACTTATGATACCATTGACGAGGAGCTTGCTTGAGTCC